ACTAATTCAACTCAAATTTATTATTTGAATTCTAACACTTGATTCACAACCTATAAGTAGGGGATTTATGATGTAAAACTAGGATTTGTAGGTCATAGTTGACTTGCTTAAGATTGGCACTAAAGTTTCTTCTCTGCTTCATCACAGATATCTATGGACATTTCGAATCGAATCAAATCGAATTTTTTTTCAAATTCAATTAAAATAAGATAATTTAAATTAAAACCAATTTATAACTGTCTAACTAAATTGATTCAAAATTGATTAAATCTGATTCGATTAACATATTGATCGATTTAAAATTTTAAAATAATTATATATATATATATATATTAATATAAATTAGTTCAATTCAATTAAATCCAATGAGAATTTTGATCCAATTTGACGACACCATAAGATTTTATAAAATTAAGATAATATTATTTATAAAATTAATTTGATTTGGCTTGAATTGATTAATTATACTAAATAAGGGTATTCTTGAATTAAAATCATATATGTTGGGGAAACTTATGTAGTGGCCGCGGGGTCAGTATGGCTTGGTCCGACTGGTGATATCCGAGACCATCTCAGGGATGATATTTTTGCCTGATCGGGTCAGGCTCGGATTTGGTTGGGATGCGCCTTTTTAGTGAGTCCGTCTAACTTTATTGTCATCGGATTCCTGCACACTGATCTAGGTTGGAATGGGGAGAAAGATCTCGATTTAGACCTCTAAAGATCAAGTTAGTAGTATCCTAGTATTCTCGATGCCCCTTGTCAGATGTTGGCAAGAGATTTTTATCATAGTGCTTGGGGGTCCACCGTACGTGGCCTTTGCACGGCGGTCGACTCCTCAAGCGACGAGTGTACATTTAGATGTTCATTGTCGAGGATACGACGCCATGTGGCGACATCCCGAGCTTCCCGGAGCGATCCTTGCTATGGCGATGCTAGTTGGTACGGTCCCAAACGGTGCGGGAGGAGAATAGCTGTTTTCCCGGATTTCTGGTGGTATATATGACGTGGTGCTACGTCTTCCTCCCGAGGCTCCGCACCTGGGCTAATTTGCGAGGGTCGTGTCCTCGTGCCAGAATCTATGCTCTATCAATATATACTCTTGGTTGATAAATCAATTTAGATCAAACTGATTTTAAATCAGTTTAATTCATATTCAATTTTAATTTTTCAAAATGAAATTTCAATTAAGGACCGGTAGATTGCAAAACCCGGGCAATTAATTCCTTGCCATTTCATCCAAGTGGCTTTACCTTTACACTTTTTCAAGGCCACTAAAATGCTAATAAAGTTGGTAGCATAAAGCATTTTTCAAAAGTGTAGCTAAAATTATTGGTCACAAGTTCAGAATTTTATACATAGAAACAGTGAATCAAAGCCCGAGATAAAAGAGTGCCAAGTCTTTATCAGTATAAAATAAAGGGCAGAAGGAATAGTGTGATGGAATTCCTACTTAGAATTGGAATATTTAAGATTCACATTGATATATATACACACACACACATTTATGAGATCTGTACTTAAAGAGGAAGTCCCCATTTATTAGATTTAATGACTGTGGAAGGATAAGGTAATGGGCAGAAATCAGCAAATAGTTCATTAATCTCTTGCAAGCTGATGCTGAGAAATGATCATTTCATCCAATGACATATTTTTACTTAGTAATGATAATAACCACAAAAAAAAAAAACAATGAACACTCAAATGTCATAAAATAGGAAGAATTTTTTTCCCTCCATTTTTTTGTTTTTGTTTTCTCTTTCTCCACCTATGTTGAATTGCAATGATATACACATAGAAGAAAAACATAATGGTAAAGATGAGATTAAATCCAAGATCTTAATGATTTTAAGTTTGATGGTGCCCCTACATATCTTAAAGACTTAGGATAATATGCACATAGTTTTATGGACTCCATCTTGGACCACTATTTGTAGGATCTACTGATGGTTTCCTCAATCATGGCACCATTCCATTATTCTACTCTGGTACAGTCTTTCTTGTTCATATACTCCATAGCTGCAGCTGCAAGTTACTATCTGCCAGACTCGAAGTATAATATAGCACCACAGTCTTCACCAAGCACCAAGGACTTCACAGGAACACCAAATCACAGTTACATGTTTAGGCTCCTTAGACTTTGGTGCAGTCTCATTCCAGATCTGCAAGTTCCATAATGATTCATCTACGTATCTGTCAAAATAATGGTCACACAACACTGGCCTATAATTGCTCCACAAGAAAAGCTCAAAAGCTTCTAAGCATTGGCCCACTGCCCTACAAAACAGGCTTCCTGTACGACAGTTTTATTCCTCCTCAGAAAACATTGCAGAAAAAAAGGTGACTTGTTGTTTCTGTGATACAATGCATGTCCACCTTCAATTGTTATCGACCAGTGCAAGAGGTCACATCGCTATATGCTTCTAGTGCTCCTGGTTCATTAGGGTTTGCAGGAAGCCACTGCACCACCACGGAAAAAAATGGGAGGAAGAGGAGAAGTGTCACACCCAAACTGTCCTTGTCATTGTAGTTATGCCAGTTTGCCTTCCTTCCATCATCCATACCATCAATGCCAGACATCTCATTTCAATCATACAGCGAGGTTTAAGTCTCCTCATGCTGCATGGCCCACTCGGTGTGCAATACTGATCTCAGGTGTCACAATCTTGTAGATTGCTCCAAAACCAAGCAGAATTGTGGCTGTGGTGCTGGAAGAAAGAGGAACCACATCTCATGCATGGCGAATTCGATCCACCGAATCCCATGATCGATATCGAGTGACATGTCTCAGCTTGCGGCAGCTCATCTATTTTGTTCTAGTGAGATGATTAGGTGGCGACATGTGATGAAGAGGGAGAGAAGTATTTTAAAATCAAAAGAGATATATAAACATCAATAAATAAGGAATATATTAGAAAATTGATATACGATTAACGCGATTCCATAATTTTCTATTTGTATCCATAAAGAAAATTAAATTATTAATCATATGAAATCAGTTATCTGAGTTATCTTCATTTCAGCATAATCTCTTTGTATATCGTCTAACATAAATAATTAAAGAACTTACACTTTTTATTAATCCTCTTTAAAAATGGTAAATAATAACATCTCTAAATGCACTAAGGAACATAAAGTATTTCTCACATCCTATTCTCCCTCACCAAAATCTAAATATATATGAGATATATATAGAAGAATTAAACTTTGATTTTTAAGATTTTCTCGGAGAACTATTTCTTATATTATGATTTATTATCCTGAGATATTTATTTGCTTAAGACTGTGCTTATTGTACCAAATAAGAGAGAAGAGAAAACTTTCATCTTAACTTAAGCAGCAGCAGCAGCAGCATAAATACATGAGAGAAGAGAAACAATAAACATGCAGTGAGAATTTTCTCCTTTTTTGCAGTGAGAATCGCTGCAAGAGAGAAGAACAGGAGAAACTGCAAAGAATTATTTGAAAGTTGTTGTTTTGTGATGGAGATCGGACATGGATAGATTGAAAGTAGAATTCTCACTGTCCTTTTAGTACTGAGGCAGATTTGTTTATCTTGTTTGGTAAATCTGCTCATGACCTTTCACCATGGATAAAGCCACTAGTGACCTACAATTGTGGCCTTGCCAACCCTATGTAATCCTTTAGGTCATCTACTTGTCACCTTTTGCTGCTGCTGCTGCTGCAGATGATGATGGTGATTCACAAAAATGTTACATGTACAAGCAAAGTATATATATACCTATCCAAATTCTTGATGTGTTGATGACAATTTTTTTTTTTTGCTTTTTTGTGATGTCACTTGATGCATTAATCTCATGAAGAATAAGATTATAAATCGTATTAATATGATCATAAATATATAAATCAGATTAATTTCTAAACCCAAACCCAATTCATTACCAATGACTCTGTTAATGTCATGAACTATCCTAATGGGATAATTGACCCATTAGCTTTATTGAGTTTAGACTAATATGCTTAAGATCATTGACTCCCTTTAGTTTATTCAAGTTTATCTCACTTCTAATTTGGGATTAACATAACTATTACAATCATCCCCGTTAAAGGATTAAGGATCAACATGGTCCAAAATCTAATCTTATGTGAGGTCTAATCTAATGATGACTCTATATCGTTTGACCTTTATTAACACAAATTATTTTCAACTCGGGCCTCTCATCATATCGAATAACACTAAGTTAGTTCTGATATTATTTATCATAAATTGATATAATGAGATACTTGATATATTAACTTAGTCGAGCTTAACTCATATCGATAATAGTTGCTAGACTCATTTAATCCTTTTAATTTATTAAAGCTTTCTCTTAATTTATTTTGATGGTATATGCATATCATTATAACATGAATCTATGATAGCCTTGTCTTTTAGCACTAGGAATTGATGATCTATGGAAAATAATTAACCTTTGATTTCATATCACGTGACATCGATACATGATATACATATAAATTCTCTAAGCACACCAAAAATGGTTATAATCTTTGAAAATCTTTCATGGGTTGAGTATTTGAACTATATTATATTATATTATCGAGTTATTTTTTCACATGATCTCTCTATCATAGTTATGAAAGAGCATCATCAATGGGTTCTATATTAAAATTCAAAGTTCGTGAATGGGAGGACTATCTGTTCTATGAATAGAACAGTTTGAATAGCGAATAGGAAAGCCCGTCGGTTCTGAATCTTGACTCTCGCTTCCGACGGTCAGCATATCTACCCCCGACGTACGTCTGAATCAGTGATCCAAAAGGAAGAATTTTGAAGTCTGACACGCTGAACTCCATTCCACCTATATGACGCGACGTGATCTATCGTCGCGGAACGCGCTTCCGACATGCCGTCCACGCACGCACCGAGAAACGAGTGACGAAGAAGAAAGTCAACTCCCGCAACGCCTGCATCGACGGTCAACACCGCGAATCTTCCCCTCGTCCCGCCTCGCCTCCTTTATGAAGGCATGTGTAAGATCGATCTCTCTCTCTCTCTCACACACACACGCCAGTCTTTGCAGGCGGCAATTGGATGAGAGGAAGCGAAGGCACAGTGAAGTTCTCGCTTCCTTTGCTCCTTGTGGTTCCAAGAATCTCGTCTTTAAGAGTACAGGGTGGAAATCTTCTTGAAAGCGAAGGCACAGCGAGGAAGACGTTGAAAAGGATGGTGGCTTTGGTGTCTCGGCATGGGAGGAGGCTGCAGCGGTACAGCTCCGGTCGCCGCCTCGTCGTCGGGTGTGTCTCGCGTGCTCTTCTTCTGTCTGTCGTTCCTATCGACATGCTTATCTGACTCTGCATTTGACTCGTTGAAGAGTGTTCTATTCTGATGCAATTCTTGCTGATCACCAGATGCATCCCCTACAAGTTCAAGGAGGTGGACGAGCCAGCGATCGAGGTGCTCGTCGTAAGCTCTCAAAAGGGTCCTGAGCTTATGTTCCCAAAGGTTGATGCTCCTCTGTCTCATCTGATCTGCAGTCTTCTGTATCAGCCTATGCTTTATGATCAACCACAAGGTCTTGCGTTCTTCCGACAGGGTGGTTGGGAGCTCGATGAAAGCATGCCCGAAGCAGCTTCCAGGGAGGCGTTCGAGGAAGCCGGAGTGCGTGGAAACTTGGAGGTCAGCTCGCAGAGCTTGCGACTCCATAGCCCCGACTTCCCTGCCATTGTCCCGCAAAACGTGGCATTTCACTGAACACCTTGTTCCCGTTGCAGGGCACGCTTGGCAAATGGACCAGCAAGGGGGACGACAAGGTCCACTTCATGTACGCGTTGAGAGTTACGGAGGTGCTGCAGCAGTGGCCGGAGATGGACGCCCGAGAACGGAAGTGGGTGAGTAAGAAACAAGCTTCCAATGCAGATCCCTACACTGAGTAGTGTGAGTTCAGCACCGACATTTCTTCCGTGATTTGGTGAACCAGGTGACCGTGGAGGAAGCAAGGGAAGTGTGCAAGCATTCATGGATGAGAGAAGCAGTGGATAAGCTGGCAGACCTTCTACCAAGTCCAAGTGGGCAAGAGATGAACTCAGCATAGCATACTAACATCACTGACCATTAAAAACAGAACATTCTTTTATTTTATTATTCTATCATTATTGTTATTTATCGAACAATGAGTTAGGATTCATCTCATCTACTACCTTAAACAAGGGAGGGAAGCTGCGTGTCAGTAGGAAAGTATCCATGTTGTTCTTCGGCAAAAAGCTTTGCTGGATTGGTGTATCTATATTTAATGTTTAAAAGAAATAGTGATTCCAATCAAAGATTACATAATTTGTACATTTTGTTGGAGCATTGAGTACTAATCTTGTCACACCGGACAAAGTGGAATTTGGGTGACCAACGTTAGTTTGTAAAAAATGTTAGATTTGGTTGCACTGGTGATGGTTGGTTGGGTTAATCCAAATTTCTAAATATTAATGATGTTTGAAACATATATATATTTAAGTCAAAATCATATAAATTTAATTACTAAACAAACTATTATTTCATATGTATCATATTGTCAAATTGGATTTGATTCAAGATGGATTAAATTCAGGTAAAAAATCAGACTGGATGTTGGATCAAACCTAACCCACCCACTGAACAGGTTAGATCAGACATGATAACTATTGACTGCCATCACTGCAAATATGATGTTGGAAATCAAATCAAATCAAATCATCAAGAAACCAGGATAGAAACCTCACACATCAAATCCTAACTTACTCTACCTAGCAATCTTGTCTTCTTCTCCTTTGGAGATCTTTGTTCTATGTTTCACTTTGTCCATAAGATCAAGTTGGCATCTGCACTTCCCCATATCCAGGCTGAGTGAATCTGTGGGAGGATGTGGACTCTTTTAGCAATTAAAAATGTTCCAGTGGTGGACAATTCATTTGACCTTATCCTTTAGGATGATCATCATGTATCTATCTATCTGTACCTTGTAATCCAGCCACAGATTTGGGTTGGTGGTATTGGTGTCAGACTCAACCACTTCAAGTGCTAGTTTATAAGGCAATTACTACTGCTACTAGTGCTATGGGGGGGTCTTTCCACCACATGTTGATCTCTCTCATACCTTAAAGGTTTTCCTGAGCCAAAGATTAGATGAATGTTTGGTCAATCTGGCTCACCATCCCCACTGTTTGAATGAAGGGTGTTGGTCATATCATGAGAGACTGTCACTTCAAATGAAAATAAATGGTCAACATATTGACCCATCCAATATCATTTTCCACCAAGCCAGATGTCAAAGTTTCATAGTCCAAATGAGGCCAACTTGGAATTCCTCCACCCACCCACCCACCTACAAATCATCTCCTCCACATACTTGTAACAAAATGAAGTAAAATCCTTCAAAAATGGTACATATGATAAACACTAGTCTTTGTCTTTGTATCATCAAAACCATGCTTCAAACTATATGCTCTATAATACACATGTTTGGTCAAAAGAAAATGATGTTCATACTCTCTCTCTCTCTCTCTCTCGCTATAAATAGAAGTGACCATAACATAGCAGATTAGGAATGCGATACCAAAGGAGGATTTGGGTCTAGAAATGGAGAAGATGAAGCAAAGCAACGGAGGAGGAAGACAACAGGGAATCGAGCAGCGACACTGCGTTCCAATTCACAGCCAAGTCAGGAAGATCAAACAAGAGGATGAGAAGATGGAGGACCACCTTCGGCCGAAGATGTTCGAGAGGAGGCCGGCCGTGTTCCAGGAGCTGAGGAGGCAGCGCTCGCGGTCGCCGCTGGGAATGGTCAGTCGAGAGATTTCGGTGGGGGAGTAGCATTAGATCGACTGCAAACTTCTAAATCTTCTTTCTGAGTTCTCTCTCTTTTCCCAACTTATGATCGACTGTAAATAGTTATGTAGGATTTCAACTCGTTTCATGGTTTCTATGTGATCATAGGTGACATGTTTTATGTCAGGTTTTTGATTTATCTCAAACGTAAGTTGAATCAAAAACCTTAATAAGATCGTTTTTATCTTAAAGAATAAACGATGAAAGTGGATTTCTAATAAAATCTTGGGGGTCGGATGAGACTTCGATCGAATCCTCAATCTTTAATGAGTGAATTTGATATCACTATCAAAATAATATTTTAGATGAATGATGTTTTAAATTCACTCCGTTGTTGATAAGTGAGTTTAGAATGATACCACTAAATTAATGTTTTTTAGGTGTAATAAATGTTGATGACAATGAAAACTTTTAGGATGCAAATATGAATCATCAACTGTGTGATTATCAATGATTTATTGATAACAAATATTATGTAATTATCAAAAGAAGAAAGTCAATCTGAAGAATTCTTTTTTTTTCCAATGGATATGCTAATTAGAGGTTTATTGATGATAGAATCCAATAAACAAAATCTACTCTCCTTGACACAAAAGAACAAATTGCTCCATCTTACAAAGAGGAGAGAGACTGGTATTATGAGTGCCTTCATACAAGAGTTCCATGACTGTACAATCATATCAATATTACTCTTGCATCAATGAAAAGCGAAGACTTTGGTATGCATCACCTCATTCTGATCATTAGAAAATTAATGTTAAATTAACATCTGATTAAGAACTAGATTTTTGAATTGAGAAATAGCTTGAACATCAAATTTAGTTATTTTTAATTAAAAAAAGATAAGAGTAACATGTTCAGATGTCCTCTAAATTACATATCTAAAATGAAATGGAGAAATGTAAGTCCTAAAAAGGACTTGTTACAGAAAACACCCAAATGATAATTAAAGCTAATACACTCGTTATGTTGATTCCTATGGCTGCACTGCTTGAAGATGGTGCTGAAAACAAGAAACAATTAGTTTCTTAGCATTCCTCTAACATTGAATTTGCAACAACATACATAAGAAATTAAACCACTTTCCTAATATCAGAATAAGTTATTCTTGCTCATCCAATACATAGCTGAAGAGATAAATGAAAAGGCCAATACATTGCGACAATACTAATCAATCTGACTTGACTTGGAGAACATGCACAGAAATTTGTAGTTTAATAAATTATGAATGTAAATTATCATTCAGATGAGTTCATTTATGCGTCTCAAGTAGTTTTTTTTCCAAATAGCTAAATTAATTCGTGTATATCTTTCAAATTCACTTGAAGCTTTTATATTTCCAATCATTATTATTAAGATAAAAGTCACTATTAAGATACCATTTTAATGACGTCCAAGCAATATTATGAAATTAATCATCATGGCTTGTCGAAGTTTCACAATGGCTAAGATTCTAGAGATTTGCCTTGTTCATTATCTCCATAACAAGTATGCAATTATGAGTGAAGAGCAAGTAAATGCATAAGCTGAGCTATAACAAGCCAACTTTGATTTAAAAAACACAAAACAAAAATCCATTTAATTCCAAATCAAGATTATTTGGATCAAGTGCTATTAGCAAAAGTTGACTAAAGTAAAAAAATATAATGCACATTAAATTCTTAATGGATGTGTCTGATGCATAAAAAAAATACACATGCATGTACACACACATACATACATACATACACACACATACACACACACATACATACATACATACATACATACAGACATAG